ATACATTTCATAACAAGTCTGGGCAGAGATAAGCATTTGGGCTGGTGATGCAGACTTCAAAACTTCTGTCACTGCGGTCTTGAAATCTGAGAAGTTATTTTTAGCAGATATGAAAAGGGCAGATTTGTTTGATGTATGTGATGAGGGAAACACAATGTCTGCTCTGTACATTATGCTGGTCCACTTATCTGTGAGACTATACACACCGCCTGAAGTGACAAAATGCCGAGCATCAGGAGGACAGAACTATACACACTGAAAAAAACTGCAGAAGTCATCCAGCGTGACAAGTAGAGTTACATATTATACTATATTCAATGAATGATTTCACAGTTAAAGTGTAAATATTATCAAAGATAGACCTAAGGGATGGAATTACTTCTTAAGCATGCAGAGGGACCATTGTTGGATTCCTCCCCTTACAGCATAAAAATCTCTTGTAACTTTTGAAGGCTATTATTCGTGTTCCCCAGGGACACAACCTGAAGATTGCCAAAAGCTGTGCAAATGCTTTTTAAAACTTGCTTTACACACTACTTCGGTTGTAAACAGATAATGCACAGGCTGCATAAACAACAGCTTGCCACTGGCTTGCAGTGATGACACTATGGAAACTCACTACTTTTCAGAACTCATTTGGAGGGATTTCTCCTAATTTGTTATTAGTGATGCACCAATACCGATACCAGTATCAGTGCCGATACTGGGCATTTTTACAAGTACTCGTACTCATGAAAATGCCCTGATAATAAGCGCATATATCTGTGCTTTAAATTTTTTAAATACATTTCAGCTACCGTATGGTTCCGCACTTACTGGGGACCTCGCATGTATACAGCGCCGGACGCACATCTCCTCCTTCTCATCGTGTCACGCCTGTACGGACTGAGGTAGCGTGGATCTCAGCTGCGGAGGCTTCTCAGGGTTGGAACTCTGGTTTCACTCTCTCAGTTTTAACAGAGAGTTAGAGTTCCTCGCATCACAGCCTCAGTTTAAATTATATGGCTTAATGGATGGGGTTAACTATGCAAGTAAATGGCGAAGTAGTGGCAAATGATAACCAAGAGTATAAATGATATATCCCCGAACTGGTGGAAGTACAAAAGCCCCAATGTAACTTAAGCCAATGCAGGTAACTTTGTAACAGTCCAACTGAGAATGAGTGCAAAAGCACTGAGAGTACTTGCGATTTAGTGGAGGTGTCACAATGGAAGCAGTAGAGGCTCCTGGGTGGTATCCGGATCCGGGGTATGCTGGAGGGCACAATCTGGAGGCTTGTGGAGGGTCCCAGGAGACAGCCGGCGTTTCTGGCTCAATATTGGAACGCCATGCTGTCTCGACTGGGCGTTTAAATAGGCCACTGATGAACAGGAGGAGCCGAGTGACGTCTCGGCGCACTGGCCGCCACTTCCTCCCTCCTTGCCCGCAGGTGACGGCGGCGGCCGTTACACATCGCCCGCACATGCAAGACTCCGCACAGCCTCCTGAGATGCCGGGCACAGCCCTGGTGAGACTGCGTGCAGCCCTGGAGAGACCACGCACAGCCCTGGTGGGACCCCACGCACAGGCCCCTGAGACCCTGCACAGCCCTGGTAAGCAACACGAAGAGGGGAATTTATCAAAACTGGAGCAGAGAGAATATGGAGCAGTTGCCAATGGCAACCAATCAGCTTCTCTCTTTACTTTGTTCAGGTAAGATTTGAAAATGAAAGAGAAGCGGATTGGTTGCAATGCACAGCTGCTCCAGATTTTTCTGCTCCAGTTTTGATTAATTTCCCTCAGAGTATCTCGCTTCATATTATTCTGCATTGTTGTATAATGTATTGCTGGGATTTGTAGTCCTCTCTAGCTGACGGTATGTTTCTGCTTGGATCTAGAATATATTGCTGAGATTTGTAGTCCTCTCTAGCTGGTGGTATTCTGCATTGTTGTACAATGAATTGCTGGGATTTGTAGTTCTCTCTAGTATAGCAATGCTGTATAATGTATTGCTGGGATTGGTCCCTCTACAGCTTGGAGTCAGTAGCAGAACTACCAGGGTTGCAGCTGTAACCAGGCCATGGCGCTCTACTGCTATCTTAAAACAATAAGTCTGTATTATTTTAGAAAAACGGTCATATGACACACAACAAAAAAAGGTATTGGTAATTGGTATCGGAGAGTACTTGAAGAAAAATATTGGTGCTCTTACTCAAGTCTTGAAAAAAATGGTATCGGCGCATCCCTACTTTCTATTCCTGTCACACCAGGACAAGATAAAAGAGATCTAAAATACAAAGTACAAATTAAAAAGAAATACGCTCATTAGTGTTCTTGATGTCACACTTTGGAAGCCCACATGCATGCACTCAGGTTCACTATTGAGTGTGCCTGAACATGTGTGCACGCTCCAAATACCTTCTTCTGGGAACTGTGGTCAGCAGTTTTATTTTATACATACAGTCTTACAATGATAGTGATTTCAAACAGATGCAAATTTGTGCACACGTTGTGTACAGTTTGATCTGAAGCTTGTATTTAGTCTGTCCACTATAACCTTGCAACAATATGTAGTTTTGCTTTAGGTAAATGCTGAACCTAATAAGCTTTAGCTGAGAGCTGACTGGCTATCCTGCTCTGTTTTCTCTCAAACCTATATTTTTTTTTATACAGTTTTCTTGTGCACTGGATGCACACTTTTTTATCACTTTTTACAGCACATTGTATAGATGCCTTTCTATGTATCATATTTTGTTGCTTTCTATCTGACAACGTGCACAAAAGTATGTAGCTACTGTATATACAGTATAACAAAGAAAATAATGACATAATATAACAGTACACAGAATGTGTATATTCCATGACTGCATTTATACCAGTTCACATGTACACCTCTCTATATAATCTCCCTGACACCCGCAACCCACACTAGGACCTGACACCTACATTGCAGACCCTCCAGACTGATTGCCACTTACCTCAACCCACTCTCTAGACTGACTGCCCAACTTATGAATCACACAGCATTCATGTAATAGTAATAGAATATATAAATACTTAAAAAAAAATTGTATCCCATACACCAACATGAAAGTAATTTATTTTTTAACACATATACTAACTAAAAATACTAAAAATATTTTATTGTATTAACGTGTACACATTTTGTCTTCTATATGAAGAGTGTTTTCAACATGTTCCCTGAGGGTGCCTTATGTCAACCAAATTTAACCTGTGTATCAATAGGCACACTTTAGTTAGATTCTTGTTAAATAATAGTTTCTAGTAGGTTTTTTCTTTACTACTTGCTATAATTAAAATATTTTATATATTATTTTCTTCGATATTCCTCACTTCTAACAGTTCTTCAACACATTCAAATAAAAGCATCATAAGCCCTTGCATGATTTAAAACTACATAATAATAAAAAAGAAAAAGCTTTTTGCAGCTAAAGTTTGGTTTTTAAATAATTTTTAGATGGTAGATTTACAAAGATATACAAAAGCAGTACAACACAGCAGTTAATCATCATTTTATATCAGTGTAGAAGTGTTTTTCAGTGAAATTGGAGGTATGGAATTAGGGACCCTTGTGGCTAGGAAAATCCTGGTCTGGATATGAACAAATGATCCACTTAAGAGTAAAGTAACAGTAAAACAGAAAGAGAAAACATGACCTAATAGTCAAGAGAACCCACATTTATGTTGTCGTACTGTCTTAATCATCTTAGGCTCACCACTTGGGGTCCTATATACCAGTGGTCCCCAACCCCCTATGGAGACTAAACGCACTCAACAATTTGTTACCAGTTGTACAGTAAGGTATAACTGGCAGTGCGGCTTACACATCCTTTGCAGAAGACGTGTATCCAAACCTCTGTCATTGTCCTTAGTGGTGAGACAAGTTGTTTTACATGCTGGTTTGTGAGTGTGCCATGATGCCTTTCTACTGTTCTACTGTTCAAAGCCCATTTCGTGTGCACCTTACTGTATAACTGGTAACAAATTGTTGAGTGCGTTTGTCACAACTGGAACCACAACCACAACTGGAAGAAATCACCAAAGTGAAGAATCCATTTACCCCAGCAGCGGCTACCTCTCTGCAAGCAAGCTACATCTCGTTGGTCTAGCTAGCGAGGAAGTAATTCCATAGGAAAAATAAGTGGTCTGTTAGAGATCCTATCCTTGGTGAGCTGGTACTAGCAACAGGATAGTTTACCTGTCATTAACCATATACAACAGCAGCTCCAGCTGATACCACCAACAGGCCCTATTGTACAACAAGGTCAATACAAACTGGCCTCATATTTGCATGTATTGCAAAACCTCATAGAGAGAACTCCTAAGTCTATACATTTGACTGGTCACAGTTGTAAATCTGAAGACCATATAAAGATCAAGAAAGACTCAGAATGAGTAGTTTGTACCAGGAGTTCTGTTGTTTTATTTGATAAGAATACTTCTATTGTGCCTACAAGTTTAATACCTTTGAATAAAAGTTTTATTTTTATCACACTTTTTAATATGTTTCTTTGCGGCTTAACAAAATAGGAGTCTTTAAATGGTGCATATATTGGGGGAAATGGGTGTGGTTACGGGGGCGTGGCCACTAAAGGGTGTGGCCACTGAGGGGCGCTGTAAAGCTTTCTCGCACAGGGCGCCTAAAGGCCTAAGGCCGGCCCTGAGTGCAACCTGGGAACACTAGAAAATAGGGCCCACTTCCTGCCAGGGGGAGGAAGAGAGAGAGAGAGAGAAAGAGAGAGAAAGAGAGAGAGAAAGAAAGAGAGAGGGGGGGGGTGAAACAGAGATAGAAGGGAAAAGTGCAAGTGAAAGGAGCAGAAGGGGAGAGAGAGAAAGAAGGGAACACAGGAGAGGACGGTAGAGTCCAAATGAGTGAGTGTATGGGAAAGAGAGATTAGTTGGTTTGGTACCCATCATTAGCAAGTAAATATTTTCCTAACAGCAAAGGTTCCACCACATAAGGGATAAAAAATAGCTATTAGAAACTTTTATTTCCTTACCTTTGGTACATGAGGGTTAAATTCTACAGCACGATGAATAGCTTCAACAGCATTCATTTCTGCAGTACTAAGTCCTCTTCTGGAAGCTGTTTCAGGCGAAAACCTACAGACGAAAGACTAAAGTCAGTCTATTGTTCACTTCACACAGTGCCAGAAGAAGCCCCTGAATTTGGAAAGAAAAGGGCAAAAAGTAACTTATACTATGTGGCGTTATTTATACCCTGTGAAGACTGATCTCATACACAGTAGATGTTAAAATAGTATTACATTCTCAAACTTGTTTTCAATAATGAATCCAGATTAAATATACACTACATTGCCCAGAAAAGTATTTATTAAAGTTTTTGCTCAAACACTTATAGTCATTATGCTTCCAAACAGCTGGCACCAAGTCTCTCAGCTGTGCTTCCTTGAACTTCGTGTCCAGTACAAGGTCATATGGGATAGCACAGTCTACAGCAACTGCTTATCTACTGGCTTGGAGAAAGGGAATGGGAGGAAGGAGGAGTGGGGAGCAGGGGACTGGCTTGCCTTGCTGTGTCTGTGTGTTTGTGGAGACACACACAGCTTACTAGCACACGCAAGGGTGGCTCCATAGGACCCGGCAAGGGAAAGGAGCCACACAAACAGAATATTAGGACCAATGCACAGGACCAGCTGATTATGTAGGAAACTAACACTTTTCACATACTAACTAAAACTGTGCGCATGTCTGTACATACGTAATGTTCTCTATTGGTTTGTGGAAGTCTGTACTGGACGCAACACAGGCATATGCAAGTGCAACTGCTTTTATTATTTCATTAAATAAAGCCTTTTTACCCTATGAGATTTTTTTGTTTGTTTCTGTGCATAATAGGAAACTCATGGGATAGTGATCGTTATGGTACTGGAGGGGAGCATCCCTATTGCTGTTCAAATAAGTGGACTAACAGACAGAGGAAAAGATCAACGTTTTAAGTGTTTTTTGACCTGTGTATTAGTTTACATGGTCGCATCAGCTTTGGTGAATGAATAATAGCAAGGCGAGCACAGCGAACATGAAGAGCACTGTTTGAAGGTTGATAGAAACTGTTTAGGGGAGAGCACTTGGAATTTCCGATTTGTGAGCTAAACATACATTTTGTGAACTGATTCACTCACTCAAACACACACTTGTAAATGATTTTTAATATGTAGGTCTTGGTCACACAGACTTTGTATGTTGTTCACGCATTGGGATTTCAGTTTTATAGTTGTTTAGAGCGCTATGACTTTAAAAGATTGACTATAATTGTCATCCAGGAAAACTAGGAGACAAGGGAAGGGTCCAAAGTCACCAAAAGAGATGAATCCCATAAAAAGTAATGATAGCCAAGCTTTACAGATACTTTTCTAAGCACTATCTGTAGTGCTGTATTTATCACAAGGAAACATGAGCTTGTGTTCAGTTCAAAGTAACAAGGGGAAGCAACAAAGAGCTGCAGAGTTTACTGTTTTCTTTTTTGGCCATGTTTAGACATTCTGCATAAATCGAGCAGCAGAACTGAAAGCATAGTAAGCACACAGCCTACTATCAGGGATCAAAGCACTCCGGCTGTAGTGCTAACAACATGCAGTTATCCGCTCTTGCTCCATGATTTTCATTGGTGTGGTGCAGAATCCCGTTATAGTTTCCCCCCGAAACAGATCCTGCTTTAACTGGTGCCATGTTATTCATATAGATTTAATGTCATTACTGGATAAGTAGTCAGCACATTGTAGCAAATACATTTCCCCACAAACACTGCTGTTTTTGCAAGTATTGTCAAAACTTTTATATCCATTAGTAAATGTTAAAAGATATTTGAATAAACAAACTTGCAGATCAGCTTTATTAGTTTGGCAAATAATGTCAAAATTCCTGATTCATAGCTCTTTTAAGAATAGAGAAAATATGAAACAAGTGCACACAACCATTTAATAAAATCATTCTAAATCAGGGAAATAGATTAAAAGGGTATACATTACTTTAATATGCAAAAAAATACCAACCTGTCAGACACTGCTCTGGCTTTTAATAAGGCTGCTGTATAACATATTGTTGCTGACTTTGGAAGACTGATATCTGTAAAGACAAAGAAACAAAAAAAAAGAAAATACATTTGTTGTTCATCAAAGGAAAAGCAAAATCCACTTTAATTTAAAATATGATTTTATATATAATCTACTACCATCAAAAAATACAAATAAAAATAGCAACAGAGGAAACACTTGGAAATGTTGTGAACAGAGATCAGCCCCAGAAACACAATTTTATCACTGTTTTTCCCAGCAATGTTTCCTCTTACTACACCACTGGACCTGATCATGTGATTATAGCAGGCAATCAGAAAGTACAGAGTATGCACTAAGGTTTTCAAAAACAGCTTGAAATCTATATAAAGGCCTATTTCTTTCTCTATAAAAGTGGTTACACACTAAACAGGTCAAAGCAATTTTTGATTCCAGTACCAATACCTATATAAACATTAGAGGCATACTGTAAAGCTAACGCTGTTCCCTCCATATGACCGACAGTACCGATAATTCTTGGATTTATGTAGCCCTGACTAAGTTAAACTTTTGTATGCAAAAAAAAACTATTTTGAGCCCCTATTCCCTGTTAAAAATGTGTACTCTTAACATTCCTTTCAGTTTTTCATATCACAACTTGGCTCCTATGCATGGGAAGCCAGTTAAGCTCAGTAAGTGTTGCTTTGGTGGTACATGTACTATGCTTATGCCAACTGCACATAAGCTGCCAAAAGATTACCTTTAACACTCAGAGAGTGACCTTAAAATATACAGTAATAAACCGGACAGGCACAAACAAAGTATCTACACATTTTCCGTTAGCACGATGCCAAGAAGCAAAAAATCCTCCCAATTGCCTGTGCTTTGCCTAAACCTCTATCTGAGACATCTGACTCAACTTCAGTTTCCAGTCAAGTAATGCTTACTTCTGTTGTAGGAGATGATCATTACTACGCCATCTTATGTACCATTGGGTAACTCAATAAAGATGAATGTATTTTGGGGAGAATGTTTTCGTAAATCAAAGTTCTTATGGTGGAAATGTTTATATACTTTATTAAAAAACAGAATTTTTGTCTTACCTGTAAAAATCATTTTCTTAGACTAGATTATGGGACACATGACAGTATTCTGGAACACTGGAAACTAGACACACAAAACTGCAAAGGACAGCCCAGTCCAACACCTCCTGCTCCCAGCATGCTGCAGTTTTGTAGCAAGCACAGATAGGAATAGATTGTAAGGACAGGGGGAGGGGACTCATGCTTGAAATTCACTCCAAGATAAGAATTTTACAGATAAGACCAAAATCCTTTTTTCTTGATCCTCCATTATGAGATACCGGATAGTGTTCTGGAATATTGGGAAGTCCAAGAAGCAGACTGTCCCCTACCGGGATCTTTAGGAACAAAAAAAACAGATTGTTGGACTGTCGAAGTGTAGCTGTAGCTGAGAGATAAACTTGAACAGCACATACAACATCTAGACAATAGAGGAAAAATTCCTTAGGATGTGTAGGAGCAGGACAGAGAGATGGTAGCACAATGTCTTGGTTAAGGTGGAAAGAAGAAACCACCTTGGGAGGCCTGGGCTTTAAAACAACCTTGGATGTTTAAAACAACCTTGTCCTTGTGTAGTACAATAAAGGGTTCTTTACAGATTAAGGTTGCAAACTCAGAGACGCGTCTTGCAGAAGTGATGGTGATGGATGCCCTGCTCGATAGGCTGGCAATCGCACCTTTTAAATCACTGGGAACAAGGATTTCCCCAACTCCAGTGCAGGACTTCTGACCCATCATATCAAGGCAAATCTGATCCTGCAGGTGAGGCATATGGGATGATCCAGAGAATGTACACTTCTGTCCCAGAATGTTGAGTTGCAATGGCCTTGAGAGTAATTGGGGTGATAGAAGCGCCTCGAATGAGCACACCATTAGGCCCAAAACCCCCATACAAAAATGGTGGCTTGGGTGGCAACTGAACACCATAGTCCTAAACATGGAAGCCATGAGACTGGAATTTGCTCCGGAAAAGGAAAACCTTGGAAAGGGTTATTTTTAAGATCAGGCCCAGATAGTACAAGTGAAGAGACAGTTCCAGTGCTGATCTCTGGATATTTCGAATCCACTAAAATCTCTGTAGGGTATGTATTTTCTGAAGGATATTAACTGACAGATCCTGAATCAACTGTTCTCTTGGAAATAGGTCATCTAGATACACCACTTTGGGGATATCCTGAGAGCCAAGCAAAGTGAGAACAGGGGCTAGCACTTTGGTGAAGATCCAAGGTGCAGTGGAGATGCCAAAGGGAAGGGCAACACACTGATAATGTCATAACCCACAGCAGAACATAGGTAGTTATGATGCATGGGGAAGATGGGGACATGCAGGTAAGCATCCTTGACGTCCACAGATACCAGAACGTTTACGGATTTTGTAAATTTCATATGGAGCTACTGTATTTTTACATCAATGAAGCATTGAGCACTTTCAGATCCATAAGACTGCAGAGACAATGGAGGATGTGACCACAAAGAGCGGGGCAGAGGTACAATTAAAAATTCTGTTCTAAGGTTTTGCCATTTATTGCAGTGAGCAAGCCTTAGACATTTGCTTAGAGGTCTGGGAAGGACAAAAGGAACCCTCTATAGCTTGAGAGTATAAAAAAACAGAAGCATGCTAGGAACAGGAAGGGTTATAATGGGCTGTCCTTACAGCTTTGTTTTGCCAGTTTCCAACCTCCTAAAGGTGGTAGTATAACTCAACATTTTGGAATACTATTCTGAATTCCATAATGTATGATAAAGAAGCATGATTTACAGAATTCCCAATCACATTCTTTTTAATAGGCAGACCTCAATTTACTTTCCAGATAATTCCAGCAAAGAGGTGTCACTACTGGCATGTCAGTGTCCATTTAAGGACATACCTCCATTTACTTCATGCTCTTCTTTCAATCTTTAGACAAGAATTTAGCCAAATATGGCTAATCCCATCAATAATCCTTCAAACCACCGTCAAACTTGTCAGGAGTCCGAGTAAGGAGTCAGAGTTTGCATCAGGTGTCAAGAGTCAGGAGTCTGTGTAGATTTCAGATTCAGGAGTCAACATCAGGAGTCAGAGTTACTAGATTCCTTTGTTTCTCCACATCCCCTCTTCTCCACCTCTTTGTCATGCCTCTCTCTCTTTTCTTCCATTTAATGGCCCCTTAAAATGTCTCATTATAGGTCATTAAATCTCTATAATTGAATAAGTAAGAGTAAAAAGCCATAACATTCCATTTTATTGTAAAAATAGGACTTTTGACTTACCTGTAAAATTGTTTTCTTGGAATACAGTAAAGGAGACAGGCTTATTTATAAATGACTGGGGTGGTTATATGAAAATACCTTTATTTTAATGGACACGGGCAAAGTAAATCAGAGCTGTGGAGCAGTCTCCATATAGCCACTCCAAGTTCCAGCAATCCTCAGTTTTTGCAAGCAATAAGAGGGAACACAGATACATAGGGGTGGGTCCTATGTCCTCTACTTTACTCCAAGAAAAAGGATTTTACAGGAAAATCCAGTTTTCTTAATCATACAGTGCAGGTCAATGGCGTATTCAAAGATGAATGGGGCATCCAAATACAATATAACTGATGGGTGGGCAACACAGAAACAAATGTCAACAGGGCCACAGAACAATTGTTAAGTATCCTAAACTCGAAGAGCAGCCTTATGCACCTTGTGGCCAAACACTGATCTAGACTCAACTGGAGAATAGTCAAAACACATTCCATGGAATATTGACAGGGGAAGAAACTTCTTCTCTTCACACCAAGCAAAGCAAGCTTTCCAGGTATGATGGCATACTTTTCAAGAAGTCAACTCAGGAACTGAGCTTCGACAGCCAAGCCAATAAAGCCAGCAACCGAAAAACAGAGTGGTTCACCGGTCCTTGAGACAGAAGGTTCGGAAGGTCCAGAAGAGCCCATGTAGAGTAAACCAGGAGATGGTGTATATCCAAGAACCATGATCTCCTGGGCCAGTTTGGAGCAGAAGATTACAGGAGTGCCCATCAGGATAGACCTGATCCCATGGGAGTCACCAAAGCATGCTCAAAGAATGCCTGGTCCTGGTAACTAAACAGTTCAACTCGTGTTTGAACCTGGACACCAGGTTCATGTCCTGCGTCCTACACTTGCGACAGAGCTCTCAAAAACACCTTGGGATGTAGGGACCACTCTTCTGGATCCAGATGTACAGCTGAGAAAGTCCACCTGCCAGTTTTTCACACAAGGGATGTGTGTGGTAGTCAGGGCCAGAATGTGATGGTCCTGAAATGCGGGACTACTGGTGCCTCCCTGATGAGTGATGTAGGCCAAAGGGAAGTGCCACAATTTTAAAGTAGCACACCTGCACTGCAAAACACAGGAAGTGCTGATGCAGAGGAAAAAAAGGGCATGCCAGTAAACATCCTAAATGGGATGGGGCAAACTTCACCATTCAGTTTGGGAACTGTAAATAGGTAGGAGTAAAACTCCCAAAACCCCTCTTGTAAAGGTTCTGGGACAATTCTTCTCTATAGGTTGAAGTCGATGGACTTGTGTCTTTTTTTAAACTAACTATGTAAGAAATATTGCAGTGTAAAATAAAAACAGATCACCAAGAGCCTGCATTGTATGGGGAAAAAAGTAAAACCAAATACAGTATATCCCTTCAAAGGAAAACAATGAGCAATGAGATTTCCAAATCCATGTAATAAAATAGGTAAATAAGGGAAAGGGGTCAAAAGCTTTCTGCAACTTTTGGTCCGTATTGAATGGGTTCTCTCTTTTTGCTAAAAGCAGAAATATCACTTAAAGAATATATCCACCAAAATGTAATTTTGATCCTTAGACACAGATATGCCAGGGGCGAAACCTAACCACACAATTTTTGATGTGGCAGACCTTGCTTGCCTCTACGCTAGCTTGTTCTGGATATTCCTTGTATTCTTGCAGCAAAAACCAGCAGGGGGCAGATGACATCACAAATCTGTAAGGGTGGTGGGTATTCACTGGTGTGGTCCTGTATAACATTTGCAATACCTTGGTGATAAGATTTCATCTCACCGTCATATTTGGAAAGCACTGCCTGAACATCCGCATATGCCTGCAATTCCAGAAGAGCCTCCAGCAGGTTTTCATGGATATTTACAATGCTGGGCAAAGGAAACTCTTTCATTAACTGCAAGTAAATACATCAATTAGTTAAAACAAATATATCATTACTTTCACATTCACGTGCAATTATTCCATTTTTGTGGTGCATTCAAATGAATAGAAGCTAATTAGGGTACATTACAGTCTGATTAGTAATTGCATAGCTTTGCTGGATTTATTTTATGCTTTGCTTGTTATTAATGGGTAGTTTTGATATATAATTTTTCACTGTGACATCCATCAGGCCTGTAATGTGTAACATACAAAATTGCTCCACGTGCAATATTCCTTTTATGCTTACTGTTGCACTATAACATTTCTGAGACAGATGGGGGTGGGGGCCTTGTAAATAAGAGGTTTTGCTAGAGATTTTGTAATCTTTTCCATAATTCCACCAGACATCTAGAATTTCTTTAATCACTCTAATTCTAGTTTCATGTTTAGAAAAATGTATGGTGCATATAAATGTATGTGCACTCAAGTTGGCCACTACCCACTCTACCTGAACCTTAAGCAGTTTGCGCAGTTACAGTGCATATATATATCTGTTAATATTTAATGAAAATAAAGTTAAAATATCAATATTGTGCAGCTGAGTTGAAATATAACATTACATTTATAGTTATTAACAAAATGTAATTGCTATTTATTTGTTAAAGTAAAATGTACCATATTTACATTTTTTTTCACACACACACACACACACTTTTTGCCAAACATGTTATTTTAGACTTTTGCCATTTTTATACTGACTGATTCTTGCCAGAGCCATGCAAATCATAAAGAATAATCCCCTTTATATTTCGGATTTGTAAAAAGAAAATGAGACATACTTCCAAAATGGTTTAGTGGAGGGTGTTTTGATTTCTTTAACTTACCTTGTTAAGTAATAACACGCCTGATAAAACATGCAGTCTAACTCAATCATTGCGTACGTCTTCTTTTTAAATTGTACCAAGTGAATCATGGATGTGACGTTGAAACAAAAAAACAGTAATTGACGCCTGAAGACTGTGTATATTGACGTTTGCAATGTTAGGAGTTGGATAAAAGAAGTTTAAAAAGGGAGAAACCGAAGTGAAACTGTTGACAAGGCATTGAATGGCCCTATACAAGCTCTCCTTATCCAAAGACATGTAAATCTGCCAGATCAGTACAAAGGCATGATGACCGTGTTCTGGGATGACCAAGTCATTATTCTCATGGACATTTTGGATAAAGGCACAACAGTCAACAGTAAAACCTACATTGGTACACTTAAAACGCATCAGGAAAGGAAACCATCAGGAAGGGAAAGAAAATGTTCTGTAGAATTTTTCCAAACTGAAATCGAGGCTTGGGTAAAATTATAGTGGAGTAGAGGAATTTATAAACTAACTGTATAAACACTTCTCTAATGCTTGGTTTTGACACAAGTGTGACAGAGGCCTTAAGAGGTGAATTCACATGCTCAGGCTCCCCTAATTTTTGGGGTTTGTGACGTGGCACATGCATCAATGAGGCACGTTCAAGGTGACAATCTTCAGAATTTCTCCCAACTGGAGGAGGCAGAATCTGAGGCAGTCGCCCATGGCAACCAATTAGCTTCTCACTTCAGTTAGTTAAGCTTTGAAAAGGGAATAAAACCTGACTGTGACACAGGCAACTGCTCGAGTTTGGAGCAATATTCCCCATTGTGTCTACTAGTATTTATTTGCTACTTGGTACTTTATATTTTCCTAGAGTTTTAAAGAGGTACTGAACTTACTTTCCAGCCATTTGCAGCATCAGTACACCTGTTTCCGGGAAAGTATTTCAGTGGTGGAAATACTCATCATCACTTTGCAGTAAGTATATTTCAATCTCTCATTCAAACACTATGGGGGAAATGTATCTAAATTGGAATGGTCAGAATCGATGGTAACCAATCAACTTCTATCTTTAGTTTGTTCAGTATATTGGCAAAAGAAAGAGAAGCTATGTACAGTGTGCAAATGAAATTCATGCATGGAGAAGTACACAGTACAGTACCAATTTTTGTTATTGAAAACTTTTTTCTTTTTTAATTATTGAACACTATGGGACAAAACATTTTCCACAAACATTCAAACAATAAAAACAACAGATAAACCAAAGAAACACACCTGCCACACATTAGTGGACATTGTGAAAAAGGTGTCAGATAGTAACAGGCAAATGCTCATATCACAACTGGTGACAGTGTGGTGGTGCCTCGGCTGGGATCTTAAGCTGACATCTCCTCATTTAGTCCCCAGAATGAGGAGGCTGTGGAATTAGTGATGGGGGAAGGAGAATTTTGTTAATGGTGACTGCTGGAAGGATATCTTGGGGTGGGAGGCCATCTGAGAGCATGGTATATGTGTTGGATAGGTTGGTTGGATTGTTGGGGGTAAGGGTACGCAGGCTGTGGTAGAAGTGGTATTGGTGTGAGTGTATATTGCTGTGCATAGGGGATGGTATGTGTTTATGAGGTTGGGAGAGGTGGTGAAGTGGGTGAAGCATATGAAGGATGGTTCCACAAGGTCCACTAGGCCCGGCAGGAAGTTTCTTGCTGGTGATTCTATAGTTCGCTGTGGAACCATTTGGGATATTAGATACACCATCCTGCCCAGCTGATCAATATGGCTCCTGGCTCTATTGCCCCTTCTGATGTTCCTCCATCACAGATGCCCCAGAAGCAAAGCCTGTGGTTGTTCCTCTACAAAGGCCTGAGGGGGCACTGGTAGAGGTGCTTGGGGTAGGGTCAGACTGGGTCGGGGGTGAGACCATTTCCTCCACCTCCTCCTCTTGTGACTTCACAACAGTTTGCAATACAGCTGGTTCCCAGCTACTTTCGGCGCTATAAAAATGCATGTGCATATTAAATAATTTCACATTCACACTTGCATAGAGGATTGGCTTGAAAGTTACTTGGTCGAGATGGAGCGATTTCTTGGGGAGGCAATTACAGCTGTGTGCGGATAGGTCACTACAATCATACCATGCAAAAAAAAAATTCTGGACACAGTTTTTAAGGCCTGTTTTGTTGGATTTTGACATGCATCCAACTGCAGGATTTTTTTAGGGACATTTAATCTTTTACGTTGGTGTGAGCATTTGGAAGGTCATGTGTTCCTAAACACAGTTCATATCAGAACACTTTGCAATAGGTGTGAAAAGCTGCTGGCATTGACCTTTTTTGTTTGTTCACACCAGCCACTATACTGCTAAGAAACCACTGTTTCTTGCCACAAAAAATTGCAAATCAGCCACATTCAGAACTAGTCAGTAGCATGAAATTTGCTTGTTAAATTTGAAAAATGATCACACATGCAAATTTACTTTTGCATCCCGATGACTGGCAAGAGAAATTCCAGCTCCTTCGCATGCACATATTCTATTTGAGCAATGGCTGATGAACCACGCCTGAGCTCTCTCTCCTTCAGTATCGAGTGAAGGCATATTTCAGGCTCTTCCACTTTAATTTGAGTGCACTCACTGCAAAAAATATATCAGATCATATTTTTTTTTTCTTTCAATAGGTATATAGCAATCGGACAAGAGTTGGCCAGTATGCACTTTGGCCAAACCCACAAAAGAAGAGTGAGTGAAGATTGCCCATATTTTCAGGAAACGCTACAACTACCCAAATTGTCTTGGAGCAATAGATAGAAAACACACCCTAAAGCCCAAAGCCAGTGGGAGGAAATATTTTAATTACAAAAAATATTTTTCATTTGTCCTATTGGCTGTAGCAGATGCTAACAACTGCTTAAGTTACATCTTTGTGGGCTCATATGTAAGCAGCTCACACTTCAGTGTTTTCAGACGTTCAAACTTTGGCCAGGTGTTTGTGTAAAATTGAGCTAAAATTGACCTGCCCGAGAACTCCCCACTTCCTAGAACAACTCCTGCTCTGCAATTTGTTTTTGTAGGGGACGAAGCATTTGACCTGGGTGAGCATCTGCTGGGGCCATATTCAAATTGAGGCCTGACCCTCCAGAAGAGGGTGATTAATTACAGGCTCACAAGAGCAGGTCGAGTGGTGGAGTGTGCTCTCCAATAAAGGGTGATTTCTGCACAATGCAATGAACCCCAAAATGCAGAATGCCATCTCAGCAGTTAAAGCAGCAGGGATGGGTGCCTGTTTGAGAATTCCCTGATGCATAATATGGAAAGGGTCCATTGGGCCGCAACTCGCGGCAGCACCCTAGTGGGAAACACTAGGGACCAATTTGCCTCCTACTTCATGTCCCCTGCAAAAGAGCTCTCCTGACAACTGGAGGCTCTGGACTAATAATTGTATATAATACATTTCAAGTGACATGAAACCCTCAGATGTGTTAACATAAACCAGGGGTGCCCATAAGGTCGATCGCGATCTACCAGTCGATCGCAAAGCTATCGCTGGTAGATTGCGGGTCGACTCCCTGTCCCGCGCTCCGTTTACCATCATGTATCCATTTCAGAGACAAGGCAGTCTGCTGCAAAACAGAAGTTCTGCCCAGCATGAGAAGAGAGAAGGATTTAAAAGGAAGAGCAGCAAAGAGAAGGGAAACTACAATGGATTACAGTAAGGCACACATGACAGTATTGTTTTATGTAAAAAAATCTGAGGGTTTAATGTCACTTTAAGAGAATTCACCTAATATTTCAGCTGACAGTTTGGAGTTTGGTGGGTTTTTTGTAAGATAAAGTTTGAAAGTTTACTTTATCATTAATTTAATTAACAATGTAAGGAAGATTAGGCCTTTTTCCTTTAGTTCAGATAGTTGTTTTTTTTTTTGTCCTTAATTTCTTATTGGGCAGCACAGTGGCGTATTGGTTAGCGCTTCTACCTTGCAGCACTGGGGGCCCCTGTTTCAAATCCTGGCCAGGTCACTATCTGCAAAGAGTTTGCATATTCCCACTGTGCTTGCGTGGGTTTCCTCCAGGTACTCAGGTTTCCTCCTACACTTTAAAGACATGCTGGTAGTTTATTTGGCTCCTCTCTAAATTCCCCCTCATATGTATGCATGTTAATAAGGGACCTTAGATTGAAAGCTCCTTGAGGGCAGGGACTGATGTGAATGTGCAACTATGTAAGCACTGTGTAAATTGTCGCGCTATATAAATACCAGTAAGACAAAATAAATAATCTAGTAATTTTGTTCATCTGGGTCATTACAGCTTACTACACACACTTCAATCTGATTGTCCAATCTCTTTAGATTTACAAACATGTACGTTGTGCAAGGGTCTGTCTGATTGAATTCATATTGAATGGATATTTTCTAGGTCCAAATATCACATAGTTATATGAGCTGCAAAGTTGCCTATACAGAGTTTGTCTAGTCAGATTGTAACGTGTGGTGAGCCTAGTACCTCCCCCAAATCACATTTATATAGTTTGTCTAGAAAGCTCTGCATATCCACATTCCTAAACTCCTTCACATTAGGCAAGGGGTTGGCAAAATTAGCCCACTAGCTGCGGGGGGAACTATAAGTCCCATGGTGCCTTGCAAGTCTGTGAAAGCCCCAGCCATGCCTCTCAAAATGTGTGGCATGTTGGGATTCATAGTTTTACCGCAGCTGGAGTTTTGAAGCTGCCTGCCCCTACACTAGAAGACATTTCAGCCAAAACATGCTCACAACAAACTTATAGCAGGTACATGATAGCAGGAGAGGATGAAAACAAACACCAAATGCCCCATGCACATGTTTACCTTTGGTATCTTTAGTGCAGGATCTGAAGGACTTCCATTCTGGCCATAACCTCTGCCCCAATTGTCTTCCAAACACAATTTCTTCCCCCCTGAGCTTGTGTTGGGGATCCCATGTGTCATAAAGACATGCCTCCCCATGGACAAATCTGATAAAGCCCCCGACATCAAAGTACTGTAGTGTGCAGTCCATGTTCATTCCCAGGACGCTTAGAAAATAATTGGACGACTTCTGCTACTGTGTAAAACATGCGTCAAAATGTGCAAGAATCGCATCAAACGCATGTTTCCAATGAAGTCTGTGGGGACAAAACGAGCGGCACTCTTCCAAAAAGAAGCTCATGCATTTTTTTCCCGCTAAGGGGCATTTTACAGCTTGCGACAAAACGCTCAGTTGTGAACGGGGGCCGTAAGAATGAATGGGATTCCTTGTGTTGAGGGTTTGACAGCGCTTAGATTTGAGCTACACATGCCTGTGTGTGAACAGAGGCTAAGTGCTGCTAGACTACATAAACATAGGTCCTTTTTAATGGGAAAACAAAAACAAAAAACCTTGCTCAAACTGCATGGTTATTACAGGAACAGCTAACAGGGTCTATTCACAAAAGGGTGAAGGGTTTGGAGAAGGCAGGAAAAGTGAACAATCTAGGACAAGCATAGCTGATTTGGAAAAATTCTAATTCAGCTCACTTTCCAGTTCAGCTATGTTGTCCTAGATTGTTCACTTCTCCTGCCTTCTCCAAACTCTTCACCCTTTTGTGAATAACCCTGTAAGTGTTGACATCCTCCACCACTCCTGATATTGTCACAAGGGGCAGAAAGATGATAGGGTGACATTTATCAATTGTCACACAGCAAGGCAATGCTAAACAGTAGCAGTGAGACAGATTTGATATAAGAGAGTTCAGCTTCATTCATAAATTCCTCCCTATGTTGCTCTAAAGTAGCACTGTAATATAATAAAACTTGCCCCTGACCACTTTTTAGTTTGTTTAGAGTGGAAAGTCTCCTATCCACTGCTAATGGCTATTTCACACCAGCCCCAGAGCGTTCCGGCCCGATTCAGTGCCGGAACACACTGGATCGCACCCCGGCTGGCTCACTTTGTTTTTGGGGGGCGTTGCACTGAAGTAAATGCAAGTAGATGGAGAGACCCTCCGCACTCCTCACAGCAGTCCCGGCCAGATATGAAAAAAGTGGTGCTCGCAGTGATGAGATACCACGGATGGCGCCGTGCAAACACAGGAAAGTCAGGAAATCACCAGCACTCAGTAGTAAAGATAAATATGTCCCTTTTATTGGACAGAAAGCGTCACAGACATCCAAATAAACCGACGTTTCGGGGCCGCGCAGGGTCCCTTCCTCAAGGCAGAAAGATGTGACTGAAGTAAATGACACCGCAGTCATGCCCTGCGGCCGCAGTGCGATCGCCCACACCGGAACGCAAGGCACGTCAATGCCTGCATTCCGGTTCAATCAGTAAAAAAAATTGTACAAAGGCATCAACGTGGCACGTGTTCCGGTGCGGGTGATTGTACTGCAGCCAGAGGGCGTGGCTGCGGTGCCATTGACTTCAATGCACCGCCACGCCCCCTCCTACCCCAAAACAAAGTGGCCAAGCCAGGTTGCGATCCAGTGCATTCCGACATCGAATCGGGCCGGAACACACTGGGGCTGGTGTGAACTAGTCCTCCATCTGTCACAGACCTGTGCAAATTTGTCTCTGCTGGCTGCCAAGAATTCCAGGTGGTGTTGCATATCCTTTAGTGAATGAGAGGCAGTCTGATTTGCATGAAATTGTGATGCTAATTTGTTTGATAAAACTTTCCACCTAGTGAAAAATAACCAGTCATCCTACTTGGGTGTATTCTGCCCAACCCTTTTTAACAACAACTGGAGTGCTAGAGGATGTTGACAATGTTCTGGTCCCATACGGGTTAAGAACAAGTACAGTGTTCCCCATAAGGTTCAATGTAAATGAGGTTAATCCGTTCTGAACCATATGTAAATTAATTACCCCTCTGCACTTTCTTTTTGCCACTATGCTTGCTCTGCACTTTCTTTGGAGCCATGCTGGATTGAATAATACTGTACAGTACTGTATTTGCTAGAAAGCACACAAAAAAGCTTCACAGCAAGTGTACACAGGTCGATCTGCGGCCGCAATCTCGACTAGAGGAAGCCACTACCACGTGTCAAAGCGGGGAAGATGGCTGCGGTCGTGTTCGAAACCCCATTTTGAGGTCGCGAACGGAAGCAAAATTTTGCCGAACTTCCTATTCAGCAAGTGTTTGTGAACCGAGGCATTACTGTACAAGATTTCTGCCCTAAAAAAAAAAAATGATGTATATATTAGGGCTGGTAATGATTCAAATTTTTTTGTAAAAATATTTATATCTCTCATTATTTTAACAGCTTCTCGTATTCTTCCTAATCTTCTTGCACACATCGCCAGCCTTCTTTTTGCATAAACCAAGACATTCATGTCTCTTTCTGGATAGAAAAAAATAGCTAGTTTCAGTTACTATACTGAACTGCACTTTGCTAAACAAAAGTGACTACAACACAAGAAACATATTTTGTAAAAGAGTTCTCCCAAAACTGATATTTCAGTTTTGGGTTAATACTTGGGTTCATAATATACCCCTCGGGGCTCATTAGTAACCATTATGAAGGGATCTTCCTGTTGAATTTTTTTGTTTTATATTATGGAGAATGCAATAGGAGGTGCCAGGACATGGTGGTGGTAGTGATGGTGGGGGAAGTTGGTAACCAAAATGTCCCTAATAGGCAGGAATAGAATTATGGTTGTTGGATGCAAGTCATATAAGAAACCATGGCATGACCAGTTTTCATCTGCAAGTAAATATCACTTTTGGATGGACTGGCTGACCATTTATTTTTTTAAGTTCTTTATTGACGTTATACACAGAAAAATTATATTTGTCAACAGTCAAAAATTACAACATTGAGAAGGTGCAATCGGTATATCAACTCAAAAATGTCATCTTTATATGTTCCTATTTATAACGACAGTAGTTAGACATCTGGCCTGCATACATACGAAGATACAAACGAGAGTGGATCTCTGTCACCTTCATTACTAAGAGTGCAAGTTATTACCTCCCAAGTCATAGGAGATGATGGAGGAGACAAGGACAGTCATCCCAGTGCAGGAAGAAAAACGCATGGGATGGTGGGTGAAGGGGTTGAAGAGAAGAGTTGGATGGAGGCAATGGGGAAAGAAAGTGGCAAGGTGCTATTGTGAAGGCAGAGAAGATAATTTATTTGATTAACACATTGATACAGGACATTGTTACTCGTTACTATTAATAGACACTTTGGAAGGCTTTAATAGGATTTTTGTTAACAACTGCTTTGACTTGCAAAGGGGTTGTTAGATGATTGAACACCAACATGTATTCACAGACATATATTTATTTATTTTCACTGTTATTTTGTATATAGTAGTTTGTTTTGGGTTACAGCCCTGCTCTATTTTTAGAATATATTAGTGCAGGCTCATGCAGCTAATTTAAGTGAATAGCTGTGATTAGAACGCCGAGTAATTAAGAACATTCAAGCTCAGAAGCTTTTATATAATAGTTCATAGAGCAGGAATAGGGGAGAAAAACATCAGACACTCACAGAAGTGTGTTCAATGTGAAGATTCTCCAGGTGGTAGAATTCTGCAACAGAGTAAAGTGTCCACAAACAGGCATTGGACTAGGTAGGGATGAAGTGTCTTCTTTAACAGGTCATGTTTGTTTTCATTTTTCAGCAACAGGTTCTCTTAGAATTCACCAAATCAATTTTAGTGCTCTGAGTGCCTCCCAGCTTAAAATTGCAAAAACATTGGACCATAGCAAACCAACTTCTGCCAGTTGTTGTCAATTTCTCTCTCAGGGCCGATCCTCTGCTCAGTGGGCAAGGAAAAATAGCCAGCCTGCTGTTGCAATTTGAAATGGCCAATAGCAGGCTGGCTATTAAAACCCCGCCCACTGAGCAGAGGTGTAAACCTGATTAGAAAGTTCTCTCTCAGGTCTGCTGCTCTGCTTGGTGGGTGGGGTTTCAATTGCCAAAACTGCTATTGGCTATTTCAAATTGCAATAGCCAATAGCAGACTGGCTATTGAAACCCCACCTACTGAGAAGAGGAGTGGACATGAGGGAGTCCATTCCTCTGCTTATTGGTCGGGCACAATAGCCAGCCTGCTATAGCAATTTGAAATAGCCAATAACAGGCTGGCTATTTCTCCCCATTGTTTACATTCTGCTGCCGATCTAATCTAGCTGCTGGCCAGCAGCACAATGTAAACAAAAAATGTATTTAGTTGCTAAAAAATTATTTTGTGTACTGTGCACCAAGCAACCAAATTTTTTTTAATGGGCACCAAGCCACCGGCAAAAAAAAACAGGACATTTGTGCTTGATTTTTTTGTGCTAGTTGCTTGAATGCCAGATAATGGGACATTTACTCAAATACCTCCTTACCTCCAGGAGCCCTGAATACCTATCCAGTGATGGAGGTGAGAGCAGGGACTTGAAGGGTGTGGTCTTTACTATTAATGCAGTTCTACAGAAAATTGCCAGACTGCAACTGATCTAAAGCGATCTGCAAAATAACTCAGTAGAATTCCCCTTTTGTGCTGCCCATGCAGTACAGGCTTACCTCTGATACCTCCAGGAGGCCTGAATACCTATCCAGCGATGGAGGTGAGAGCAGGGACTTGAAGGGTGTGGTCTTTGCTAGCAAAGAGCCATCCAAGCTCAGAAAATTTCACCCCTTTTTCACTGAACCAGGGAGTTTCACTGAGTTATATGAAGAACATGCTGGATCTATTGTAATCCAAGTTTTCCCAAAAAATGCTCACATCCTTCAACATGTACCATCTGTACAGCAACACAAACACATACAATTTACCAAGCTGTGCAGAATTTCCACCGACTATAGTAATTTTAGCTGGTAAAAATGACAGTTTTTACTCACTATGCTGAGCTTCATGTTCAGAGCTCAAATGTTGCTGCTGAGATTTCTTGTAAGCACCTTCTGCTGCTTTTAGTGCCTGTTGGAAGAACCTTTCTGTATCAGAGATGGTTGTGGCTTCCTCTTCCGCCAAGAGGATGTAAGCTGTAGCACAGCTGTAAGACAATCTCTTGTTAGAGAAGGATAAATTATAAATGCATCATTCTAAAATTCTTACATTCCAATGCAGTGCTTATAGATTTAATTTCTGGCCAAGTTAATGCACAAAAGAAAACAATAATATTCCCTAGTTTGATGGGGCAAAAATCCAAGACAGGACATAATCATTAACAAATTTCTGCTAGCTTCTCAACCTCTCACTTCTTACTCACCCGCCATCCAGACGTAAATGCCAAGTCAAACAAAAACTAAGCAATGGATATATATTGGTGTATTAAAGAAGGCACCATCTGTATCACTACATGCAGAGCTCCAGTGGTCAGTGAGGTCACAAAAGCTCAATGCAGCATCCAACCACTAAAGAGGTAGTGATAGGGAATGTGGTGGCAGCCAGGAGCCAATGTCAGATCTCTTGCTGAATATATTTTGTTACAAGGACAGCCAGCAACTGTTTTCAGTAGCTAACTGCTACCAAAACCATTTTCTTTAACGTTTATGCAGCCTTCTTTGACCACATTTCAGTACAAAAACATGTAAGATAACAAATGAGACTTGCAACCTGTAAAGGAACTGTTATTTAGCATAGCAATACTGGGTTTTCTTTTATAAAATTTGCCATCTAGTTAGACGTGATTAACAAAACACTGTGAAACTTTCAGAGTGATTACCTCAATGATCATTTACTACAGTAATCCTGTGGCTTTTTGTCATGAGGATAACAATTATAAAGATATAGCTTAGCACTTAAAATGGTGAGACAACTTACCTGGAAGGAATGCTTTCTGAGTGGGTGTGTTTTCTTTGATTTGCCAAATTTAAAGTGTATGTAAACCCTAACAATGCGCTTTGCTATTTGCTCCCTTTTGGTCTTTTAAAGATACCACTGAAAGCATTTGTTGTATCTGTTCAAAAAGTGCAAAACAAATACTGTTTAATCCTGCAAGAAAACCAGTGCTACCATGTGTCATCGTGCTCTCCGTTTTATAAAGATGATGATGGCTTGTTCTGTAGTGCTAACCCACTTAGAGTGTCAACACTGTTACTTCATAGATATAGTAGAGTAAGCCTGATATTACAGTAAGTGATCAAATACGTGGGAACCACTCTGAATGGTTTCCAAATGTTAGTGGGGATCAGGTCAGTGACATCCAGGTCAGGGCAATAACGCCTGGCAGCTGTCATAGTGGAGACGTAGAGTAATGTTCCCACAGCCTAGGGCATCATGTAGGGGAACTTTAAGCAGCAAACAGTTAATGACTTACTCATTCGAAGCTTCTAAAGCTTGATAAGCAGCTTTCACTCTAGACTGAGGGCTTCTTTCTCTCCAAGCTTTCTGCATAACTAGAACAAACAAAATAAAAATATTGTTAACATGGAAAAATCAGAAGTTAAAGCAAAACTAAACCTAGTGTTTAAACGTCTTCTCGTTTCAAAACTAATATAACCAAGGTTTCATAGTCAAATTTATTTTTCCAAATTACACACTGTGCACTTTTGTTCTTTAACCGCCTTCCGGCCAGCCATTGTGTTAATGCCGCCCGCCGGGAACTTCCTAGATGTAACAGGTCATGTATATACGGCCTGTTAGTTGCGAGCGAGCGGGAAATTGCCAAAATCTAAAAACAGGCAGCGATGCTTGTTTACGTACAAGTGATCCGCCGGCTTTAGAGCCGACGAATCGCTTGTATGGGGTGCCAAATGGAGTGTCCCCCTCCCGCTGGTCCCGGGCTCCGCCCAGAGCGGGCCCGGAACCAGCATGGTGGCTCTCTGACAGGGGATCAGAGGGAGATCGGTACACCATCTCTCTCCAGTGGCTGAATGCGGAAGTGATGTATATTACATCACTTCCGCATTCTTGTATCACTCTCCAGCTTCAGAAGCTGGAGAGCAGCTGGAGAAGCAGATCTCTGCTTCATCAGCTTCTTTGGGGGTCCCTAGGTGACATTAGGGGTCTTGGAGACCCCTGATGTCTCCAAAAAGAGGACTTGTCACATATCTTTGCTATCACATAGGGGGGTTTCTTACCCCCCTATATGATAACAATAAAGTTAAGTGAAAAAAAGAAAATAGGAAAAAAAAGTTTCAAAAAAAGAAAACTCAAACATCAAAAAGAATTAAAAAACACAAAAATGTTTTTAAAGTCCCCACCCATGCATAGATGCGCGCAAACATGCGTCGGGTGCGCATACATGTGAAAACGACAATTGCGCCCATTACGCCGCCCATGTTAAATATCACAGCGAACGTCGCAGTGAGAGCAATAATTCTAGGGTCATTATTCACTGATAACACTAAACTGATAAGCGGTAAAAACTTTTAAAGCATCACCTATGGGCAATTTTGGGTATGGTATTTTTTTGCGATTTCACGGGTGCGTGCAATTTTAAGGCTTGACATGTTGGTGTCTACGTACCCGACGTGACCCCGTCTTTTATATTTTACCAAAAAATTGGGTAATAATAATTGTATTATAACATAATGTAAAAAAAAAACAATTTTCCCTTAACATAGTAAAAAATAAAACCCCAGTGGTGATTAAATACCACCAAAAGAAAGCTCCATCTGTCCCCAAAAAATGGTATAAAATTAATTTCAGTACAGCGTTGCATGACGGAATAAATGTCAGTCAAAGTACCGCAGTACTAAATACTGAAAAATGGTCTGGCCAGGAAGGGGGTGTAAACACCTGGTCTTCAAGTGGTTAAATGTCTTTTACTCTCATGTAGGTTGCTCATTCACTGTCGCAGTTCCATTCTCAGCACACATGTAGTGCCGGCATTCTCTCTGATGTGTGGTTTTACATCAAATACCTTGCAATACCAAACATGGATTAGATCTTCAAACTTCCAGCATTGTAACCTGTAGTTTCACAGTGTCCATATTTACCCACATTGGAAAACTATCACATCAGTCAATAGCACAGAAACATTCCCTCACTTTCTAACTTCTTTGCAGAGCAGGACCCACTAGTTAGAACAGTGGAACTGACCTGCTCCAAGCTCTGACCTGGTTGATATAGAAACTGGTAGTTTTTGACTACGGTCTCCCTTCTCGGTTCTTACAGGTCACATGAACTGGAGCACAGAGTCACAATGGAAATCAGTAGTGGAACACTTTACCAGGGCACAGCTGTATCATGTAATGTGAGCAGGGGGTGGAATACTGCAGCTGATCCAGTTTCTATTTACAGCGGGTCCTGCTCTGGAAAAGGGTCTTATTAAAGGAAGGGGGACGAGTACCTTATGTTCTATGTAAATGTTAGAAGAATTTCAAACCAAGGTAGCTTGATAGACTAGTGGGCAGTAATGTCAAGAATAGGCAGATGAAGCTATATGGGGGGAAAAAAAGGAACTTTTTAAAGATGACACTACTGTCCGTCACAGAGGACTTGCTGTAGCCAGTGTAGTTTTTGCTTCAATTTCATATTTAAATAGTGAATTCTTACTGTTAGTAACATTTAAGAAATGCTTAATGTTGAGCAAATAAGAATGGAAGATATGTGGCTAGGCTAAGTTCCGCTTTAGATCCAACTAAATAAAAGGAGTGTACTGCATAAATATTTTCCTTTATGGAATTTACAGCCCAGATAAAGCTATGGTTATTACTACAGACATGATTATAGGCCCTGAGAATATGGAGAAGGTCCCAGAAGCAAGGTATAGTACTCATAAGCTTTTTGACACCATGGTAACCATGAGACACCTATGAAGCAGTTACAAAAGGCAGTAGCAAAAACTCTCAAGTTAATCAATCTATCAAAATACACTGTAGCAAAATAAATACTTCTTCTTCCCCTGTTGTTTTAGCATTGTAGAGGAGATCTATAATAATCTTTTACCTCTAAGTAACTAGATTCTGAAGCAAAAAACTATTTTACAATTTGTGCTGAGTGAAAAAAGTTTTGCTTAAAGTTTTCAATGGCTCTCAAATTAGCTAAAGAGTCCTCAACTACCAGGCTGTATGAACTCTGATTAACTGAGATATGAGGCTTACATCACTAAGCTATAATGACTGCTATTAGCCATTACAACTGTTTTTGGCTGGTGTTTTTTTCCCGAGATGAAAATAACAGTCAGATGACTAAAACAAATAAAATACTGAAATGGCAATAAACACAAGCATTATAGCTTAGCAAATTAAGCCTACGTTCTTGGGCATTCCAGTCACAGGTGTTTATTTTGATATCCAGTAATACTTCAACTGAGCAGGAACACCATGTTCAATCAATTATTTTAATTAATTAATGTATTTGTTACATGGTAGTTTGTTGCGTAACAGCATATTTAGAAGTTTAAAGGTGGCCATACACCTTACAACCATCGCACGACTTTTGTTGTGCGATGGTTGTAAGGGGATTAACATTTTGTACGACCTGCCCATCATGGACAGGCAGATCGTACTTGCAATCATCGCAAGTCCTCCCCGCATATTTCACAAAACGGTTCTCTTACAGCACATCTAAAATCACCTATAGATTTTCTTTATAATTTGATGAATAAATCTTCTTGAAAGTGTGAAAAATATTTGAGTTTTTCTGCACAGACAAAATATTAGTCTTGGCTTCACAGGGGAGACACTATATGCTTTTGGAGCAACACTGACAAATTCCTCCTATGTAACAAGTCACCCTCTAGCTGAAAGCTAGCGTTTCCTGGACTTGACAAATGAACTCATAATTGAACAATACCCAGGTAAATGGAATTATGTGCTCAATGATTGATTATGCAAATAAAAGAAATAAATGAATACTAGCCATTGTCAAGGCATTCTCTCACATATATAAGAACCTCAATCATCTGTGTATATATAGCCTCTAGAGATATACAAAAAAAAGCTTTGTGTAATAGAAACGGTATAAAAGGTGACAGATGTATGCAGCACGTTTTGTAACAAATTCCATCACCTTCTGTTTACAGCAGAATGGCAGACTTCTTAATTTACCACATCAGTTGAGAGCATATGCAAAACCTTTCAAAAAAATTACAAGATTATTTTTTTTAAAGATTATAGTATAATAAACCTCACCAATGAGGTAGCTTAGAAACTATGACCAGCAAGCATTGAGTAGCCTGTACCCCCTCCAGCTGTTTGCAAGTCTCACTAATGTGGACCTAAATCCAATGTGAAGATTTGCTACCGTATAGAGAACATTTAGAAATGTTAATAGTGCCTAAGATGTACCCTAAAATATTTACTTTTTTTTTTGTCTTCCTCCTGGAAAATGGCAGTGAACCTTCAGTGTCTTGAGCCTCTTACATGCATATCTGCAGTGTGAGCCTAATCTAATGACTGCTGATCTAAAAAAAAATAGCAGTGAGATTTAATGACTTGCTGGGCCAATTACGGTTCTCCCTGCTGGAGAAAAAGTGTCCAAAAGACTTGCTGTACAAGCGTCTAACCTAACCCTAAGGGTATCCTGCTGCTGCTTGATTATCCCCCCATTAGTCATGAATCACTTATCATTAAGGGAGCAGCTCTGACAAGAGGAAGGAAAAACCTGCACCTCTACCAAAATGGCCACCTTATACAAAGACACAGAGCAGAACATGCTAGCAATGTCAAAAAAGATCAGGTTAAGGGAGCCTAAAGGTAATACGCTTGACTACTCATTTGCCCTCTACACATCTTTTTTTTGCACAGCTTCCATGTTCTGGTCCTGTTTAGAACACTGTGGGGCTGACTTACTGTTCATGCATAATTCCTGCAATGCATCTCTGAAAGCCCGTTGTAACCAATGAGCTTCAGAGCTGGTACCAAGTCCTACTGGGAAGCATTCTAACAGTCCAATACTACAGTCACAAGGTTGCATCTGCTAAACCGTATTGCCATTCAAATTGACATTACCACAATGTATAGATCTGAATAGGCCCTTAGGCTCTATCTGAATTTCCCTAAACAAGGTAAGGGCATACCATTAGTGAGCAAAGTATAGAAAAACCTATTTATACATGAGTACCTATTTACACATGAGTAAAGTATAGAAAAACAAAACTTCATTACCAGCATCAGATGGCCGTAATGTGTCAGTATCACAAGTAAAGAAAGTCTGATGATCCTGTGCTGACAAATTCATGTCATAATACGTTAATGGTTCCTTTCCAGTTACCGATGTGTACCTACACAACAAAAGAGGAAATAGAAAATGGCTCAGTAACAAATAAAAATAAAAGTAAATTTGAGTTCTACAACCTCTATGAGTCTTCACACCCTACAATGTCAACAGCAGTAATGTAAAACCGCATTCTACGCAGATATAAGACAGAATATAAGACAGAAAATAATGCAACTCTGTAATCATTATACATTATTAATGTATTTTCTAAGAGAAAGAAATTTTAAAGAGAACTGTGGGGGTAAGGGTCACGGGAGGACATATACTAGCATCCTCCCATGATCCAAAGCTCAGTATATAGCGAGCTACAGCTTGCGGTATACTGAGACCACCGCAGCCAGGACAGATCCCGGACATTACTGTTGAGATCCATCCAGCTGCATGAGTGACAGCAGTGTCTGCCTATCTACAGGCAGAGGCAGCTGTACCCGCCCCCTCCCACGTCCGTCGCTCCACTCAGCGCTGGAGGATCGGAAACGGGGAGGGGGGAACTGACAGTCACTGCTCTCTGCAGGAACATGATCGAGAAGTGAGTGAGCGATGGTATGCAATCGCTCACTTCCCGATCTATTGAGCGGACGTGTGACAGTTTCATTGTCACACGTCGGCTCGAAATATGAGGATGAGTGATTTTCACTCACCTCATAGTTCTCCTTTAAGTACCAGAATTAACAGTCTCATGCAATCCAAAGGTGCAGTTCTTTAAAATTTCAGAGCTGTGATCTGCAGGATCGCTGAAGCCTACCATGAGTACAGTAAAACAAACAAACAGAAATAAAATCACTTATTTTAGTAGAGAAATCAAAATATAGAACCCCGGTGAGATTTTTATTTCTGTGTCTCTACTGCAGATTATCACTTACTTTCCATCTGATAAAACTATCAGAAGAGTGAGGGAAAATCTAATGGAGCCCCAGAAAGAAGTAAAAGAAACCAGACATGGTTCAAATCTAAAGTTTGAATCCTTTTATATTCTATTCAGAGCTAAATTTTTAAAAAAAGTTTTTGGTGTGACATACACATTAAGTAAAAAGGTTTCCCTGCATCAATTAAAGTTAACAACATTTCAGGTCTGTCACTTTAGTAAAATGTTGGCAGTGAAAGGCATGAGGGCAACTTCACTCAATTACAAATACAGAGGATCAACAGAAGATCAGGGGTAGGCATTTGCAAGTAAATTACGCTCACCTGGGTGAAAAACGTGAACAAATATCTGACAGCAAGGAACAAATGCAGGAAGATACTGTCCTGCTTTTTCAGTTCTTTATACCGGATTTAAAGCATTAATAGTTATGATAAAACACACCCCATGAGACCATCCGCCTCCACCCCCACATTTTTATATGACGTCTTATCATCAATGTAAAAGTTCCTCCTGAGCTATTTCTCAATTGAGAGATTTATCATTTCTTATTACATGTCCACCATAGAGTTGCTGGTGATATCCAGACAGCAAGAGCTGGAATAAATTAATAGATTAGCTCACTCTGTACAATGCAGTGACTTACACAATAACACCTGTCAGCATGAATATTAAAGATTCTAACATACACTATTCATTAAAATGCAACTAAGGACAAGAAATCCATGTTAACATGCAAGGCCCTCTCCTTAAATAGCACTTAGCTAAATCCTGCCAAACTGGATTTACTCTCTATATAAGAACATGCAAATTTTCTATTGTAAACAGTTCTCACAACTCAACTTCTACACACAACATTTTGTGTAGTACGCATATACCCATATGATATAGATTAGACACTGCAAATTAAGAGTGGATAGATTTCAATACAGTTGTATTAGATTATAAATTATATTTAGCATGGGCCTTGTAAAATGGAAATGTTTGTTTCGTTTTGTGTTGTTAAAATGAAAACTAGAGACAGAATTTTTTTTGAGATTTAGACAAGGTAAGATTTAGAACTTCCGTCAGGTTTTAAGCACTATCAGTATTACCCTTGAGAAACTTTCCCCTCATTTCCACTCCTAGAGACACCCAGAGTATTGCTGTGAGCTAAACCTAATGTTTGCTCTCCGGAGTGCCTTTTCCATACATCTGTTCTCCAAAGAAAATAAAAGGCGAATGCACAATGGAGAAGTGAAAGAAATCCAGAAAAGCCATAGTTTAAAGGACAGGACGTGAAACACTCTCCCTAGTGGGGGCACAGAAAGCACAGAAAACTTGACAGAGGATTTAAAGGGTATGTTGTATTGGTAGAGACTAGTACTGAAGGTCAGTTACAATTGTCACTGGAATGTCCATAGATTGGCTGGGTTTATCATGCTACTCAGACTTCTAATTCCCAAGGTGTCTCGGTCCTAATGCCTAAAATTGGTACAATTTGAGCACTTTTTTATACAACAATGTATTTTTTGCTCATTTGGGAGCGGTAAATTGTTAGCTTATGTGGCCAACTATGACTCCAAGCCAGCAGTTATATATCATAAACTCCTGACAGTGCTCTAGTCAGAGACCCAAGTTTAGTCACCGCAGAATTTTGTAAATTATTTAGCCTATACTCTACAATCCTAGACATAGACAGTTTTATAAATATTTTTTTTAAGTTTCCACATCTGACGTCAGCTTGGTGCAATTTCTTACCTTACCAAATACAATGAAAGAAGCATTGATCACTCTAATTCCTAAACCCAGTAAAAACACGCTCTTTCCTGAATCCTACAGACCCATCTCCCTTCTTCAGATGGATGTCAAGATCATTGCTAATGTTTTGGCCTATAGTTTGGGCCAGGTGACACCCTCTTTAATTCATACTAATTAATCTGGTTTTATGCAAGGTAAAAAAAATGACCTTCAAAACTCGACGGCTGCTCATGAATCACCAGGCCCCACACAACTTCACTGGCACCAATGTGATTTCTGACACTTGATTTCTGACACCGCCCCCTGCGTCAGCTGCTGTGGAGGCACCCGAACGTGCTCATACCCGCAGTAGCTGTGCGTCTCCATTGACACAAATAGCCCTGTGGCAGGCCCTGCCACTCCTCTCCTCCCTAAAGGGTGATTGACCGCAGAAGGAGCCTAAGGCTCTCTGCCCTCAGTATCCTCCTCCTGCAAGCAGGAAGTTTGGGGACTGGAGGATCACTTCGGGGACCAGCGGCGGTGACAGCAGTGACACAGGTAAGTGTGGGGGAGACGGGGAACACAAAAAGGTACTGGTCGACTTTTATCTTAATGCAGAGAATGCATTAAAGGGAAAAAAAGGACCAGCCTTTAATAGTACTCTAAGAAATGTCTGTTGAGCGGGCCTTTGGATGGACTTCAAGCATCACTATACATTTTTAAAGTGACAGAAAAGTCTGGCTGCCACCCAAAGAAAAACTAGGGACGCACTAAGCTTCCTCTCATTAACACACAGTGAGAGGAATTTACAAGGATTGAAGCACATAGAATCTGCAGCAGCTGTGCATGGCAATCAGCTTCTAGCTTTCATTTTCAAATCTTAACTGAACAAGCTGGACAACAGCTCCAGATTCTGCCTGCTCCAGTTTTAGTAAATTTCCCCAAATGCTTCTAGAATTGTAACTCTTCCTTATGCCAGACTGATTAAATCTGGTTTGCCACTGATAATGAGATCTACCAGCACAGTATTGACAGGCATACTTATGGTAACCTCCCTGGCCCCCTTGCATCCCAGAGGTAAATTCAGTTTAGAGGAAACTAGTAATACAAGTAATATGCAAGTAATGGACAAGCACATGTAACAAATATAAAATAGTTGGCTGAAAAAGTAGAAATACAGCTGAACTGAAAAGACATACTTCTAAACCCAAACCATGCCCTAGTCCCTAACACTAAAGTAACTAATCAGACTGATCACTCACCTCAAAGCCCACACTACTTTGCCAAGATCTTGGTGGTAAAAACCACCAATACAAAATAGACAGCAAAAAGGAAAACAGAAGGTCATTCCAACTTAGCCGAAGGACATTTCTTATTGCATGCTGCAATCCTGTATTGACAGCATCAAATTGTATTGCTCAGTGGGTTAACTATACTATTATATATAGTTAACTATATATAATATATTGCTCAGTGGGTTAACTATAACACTTAAAACATAACAATTACCTGTTATACTCAGCTCCTCGGAAAAGATTTAAAGGGTTACGCCACACCTTGCATTCTGAAAAGGTAAAATGATTGGTTGTAAGATTTGATGGTAAAAGTTTTCATCTGAGCTTCTCAAAAACAAGATTTGGGGCTTTACACCAAGCACGCAAGATAGGAAAGGCAGAGTGTATGCTGTATGGTTCTGCAATTTGTAGAACTCTTTGAATAATTACATATAACCGCACAGCACATACAGGGACTAAGGGATATGCTTGAGTCACCCCAAAATGACTTTTTTTCTAAAGCACAAATGTGATTATGTACCTAACCAAAAGGTACATTAGCATCCTCCCACAGTAATTTCAGTTAGTCATAGCCATCAGATAGCAGTCTGAAGAAAAAAAAAAAAAAAGGAAGATTTCAAGTTGAACATTGGTTTAGCTAATGATCATGGATAGATTTTTTTAGACTTGTATTGCCACTAAAATGAACTGTTATAACTTTATTTTAGATGTTGTAAGCCAATATAAAACAGCATTAAGTGTAATAAATAAAAACAACTTTGTTGTGCAGTGTACAATATGTGCAAATGTATATTGTGTGCAAATCCAATTCTTGTGAATCAATGCTCAGCATAATCAATCTCAGCACGTGTTTCTTTAATTGCATATATATTGGACTACAATAGTAATTGGATATTCACACTGCATTGTTACTGGTCAATAAAATCAGTCATTATTTATTTGTTTGGTTACTAGATATATACTATAGGCGTTCTCCCTAATCTTCTGAAGAAGCCAGTCCGGCGAAACGCGTCAAGGCTAGACCCATTGCACAACATCAGTATGAAATCAAAGAGGACTATTATGGATATTTCAATCAATCATGGACATTTGAAAAAGATAAACAATTATGATATTGCATAGAATTAAGGAATTGTGCCAATGGGGTCTAGGGGGATGCTACGCCTTGAGATATGAATTTTATCTGAGCTATTCTTTTATTTGATTGTGTATATATATATAATAATTATGTATTTTACAAATGAACATGCTGTAAAAATTAAAATAATTTATTAATGAATGAATATCCATATATGTGATTTAGCCCCGCGCTATCCGGATACGACACTTTTAAAGCCCCATCTCTTCCCTTCCTTTTTATACATGTAAGCCAATATAAAACAGCATTAAGTGTAATAAATAAAAACAACTTTGTTGTGCAGTGTACAATATGTGCAAATGTATATTGTGTGCAAATCCAATTCTTGTGAATCAATGCTCCGCATAATCAATCTCAGCAGGTGTTTCTTTAATTGCTTGTAACGGCTGTCACACACAAGCGTTTGACAGCTATAGAGCCGCCTGATCGCTTCTATGGTGCATGCAAGCGTGCACCCGCCACTGCCGCCGGCTTAGGCTCCGCTGTCTGTCTTGTAGGCCCGGGACCAGCACTGCGGTTTTCTCCACTGAGATCAGAGTGTCAGCTTGAGGTGGAGTGGGCTAGGGCTATGGGAGCTCCATCCATAAGTGTATTGCTTACAGCTCCCTCACATGTCCTGTAGAAGTGCCTGGACTGGAGTGAAATTACATTCTGGCTCCTGGCACTTCTACAGTTTGTGCAAGGGAGCTGTACAAGTGGATGCACATATGGATGGAGCTCCATCACAACACAGGCTGAGGTTCCACTTCAATTTTCGTAAGGTAGGGAGACTGGGTGGATTTAAAAAAAAAGATTCGGAGTGTGTATGTGTGTGTGAGAATGAGATTGTGTCTGTTATTGTGTCTGCCTGTCAGTGTTTTTGAGGGCCCATTCTCACTAGTACAGTGCGTTAATCGCACAGTCCCAATCGCACAGCAATTAACGGACTCTACCACGCATCTACCGCACGTTCTGTTGTGGGAGGTGCACTGAATTGCCATTCATTTAAGTGGCACCCCAAATGTAAACATCCCACCCACAGTTCTATCACCCACATCGGAAGGCTTGATACCGCAATGCCGTGCGTTCCATTGCAGTGCAACTTAGGTCACGACTTAATGACCAAGGACAAATGTGGGTCCTGAGTTTACACAGCTTGAGAACAACTGCTTTAAAGCAATGCATGTGTAGCTTTCACTTGCTTGCAGTACTATTTTTTATTGTATTAAATGTTAGATTAGCCAATACATTGTCTCGGCCCAACTGCTTAATAACTGTTAAGAAAAGATACATACGGACGTAAAGCTACAGGAAGCAGTGCTCACCCCTCCCCTGTCTGTCCCTCCAGTGAGCGCTGTAGGAACAGAGAGGGTAGGGGGAGTCACTGCTCCCTGAAAGGAGAAGAGACAGTGAGCTGAGCGATCAGCAGTTACATAACTCAGCTCTTGATATAGAGCAAGCCATCTGTGTCCCCATGAAGAAGATTGACTCAATTTGTCCTGATGACTAACGTCACTGAGAATGAAAACGAGGATAAATTAAAAATGTTGAGTTGCAACCAGAAGGAAAATGGGATTTTTATATTCACTGTGAAATCCTTTTCTGTGCATCCATTGCGGGGCACAATATGATCTTTATGATCTTGACTAATGAGTTATACTGCCACCTGCAGGAGTAGGGCACTAGCAAAAAAAGAAAAGGAGAACAACAGACCAGGGGCAGTCCGTGCTGGAGGTCAAACCAGACTGCAAGAATCAACTTAGTTAGCAGCAAACAAGCAGCAACACAGTAAGCCAATATGTGGTTGGGTGCTGTGTCCTTTATTGAATGCAAATAAAGGATTGAGACAGTAAGTACAAAAACAACTATTTTGTCTTGTGTTCATTGAAGGACACAGCAGGATCCTTAGGATCTTGACCAATGGGACATCCCACAGCAGTAACAATAGAGGGTGGATGAAACAGAACATACCCACAACAGGAAGAGACGCTCATACCACTGCCTGCAAGACCTTGTGGCCGAAACGTGCACCCACGGACACCTCTATGTCTACCCTATAGAACTTAGAGGAGGTGTGGACAGAAGACCAAGTAGCAGCCTTACAAAACTGGGCAATAAAAGCCTTGTGATGAAAGGCCCAAGAAGCACTCAGCACTCTGGAAGAATGAGCAGTGACCTGAAAAGCAGGCCACAGTCTGACTAATCCACCTGGATATAGTGGCCGACAAGGCAGCCTGACTCGTCCTAGAACCATCTAGGATAATGAACAAAGAATACATCTTCCGAACAGAAGCCATAGTAGCCAGATACACTCAAATAGCCCGGAAAAAATCCTAAGAATGAAGAGCCACTTCCCTCGGATAAGTAGATTTCGGACACATAGAAGGATATGCTCATTTAAATAATAAGATGATTCCACCTTCTTAAAAAACGATAGATGACATGGGAGCACAACATTGTCCCAATGCAGAGTCAAAAATGGCTGCGCACAGGACAAAGCCAACAACTCAGACATCCGCTGAGCGGAAGTGAGAGATACCAAAAGGGCAACCATCTTAGGCCTCATTCACACGAGAAAAGGCCGCCATGTACAGCTCCGTGCTGCGTGCACGGCCGTATCAGGCAGCTCCCAGGAAGGACGGGTGATGCGTGTGGTTAGTACACAGCCGCTGTCCTTCTCTATGGGAGTAGGCGGCCATACGCCGGCCTGCGCTCACCCCAAGTGCAGGTCCGTACGGATGCAGGTGTCCTGGTTCGGATGCAGACAGGATCCATCCTGTCAGCGTACAAGTACGGACACCCGCACGGACGTGCAGGGCGGATGAGAAGGGCGGCGTACGGCCGCGTACTCCCATAGAGAAGGACAGGGGCTGCGTACTAATCACACGCAGCACCTGTCCTTCCCAGGAGCTGCCCAATACTGCAGTGCACACAGCACGGAGCTGTATGTTCTGGCTTTTTCTCGTGTTAATGAGGCCTTGGAGAGAGATGACAAAGGAATGTCCTGAATATGTTCAAAAGTAGGCTTCTGTAAATCCCAAGGAGTCAAAGTTAACTTAACAGGAGGGAACACCCAGGTAACATCCTGGCATAAATGTGCAAACCAGAGTGCGTTGCCAAAAGCCACTGAAAAAGACCCGCCGAAGCAGAACTCTGTCCCTTGACCATACTCAGCACCAAACGATGATCCAATCCTCTTTCCAGGAATGGCAGGATTCTGGCAATGGAGAACCACCTCGAATGAAAAGCATGCAACTCACACCAGGCAACGTAGGCCTTCCAGGTTTGATAGTAAACCATCCAAGAACTAGACTTACGAGCTCTCAGCACTGTGGAAATCACTGTGGAAAGATCTCTGTCCTTCATGCCCTGTCTTTCAACAACCATGCTGTTAAAGCCAGCAACTGTAAAGCAGAATGAAATATTGTGCCCTTTGACAGAAGATTCCGATGCAACGAAACATGCGAGGGAGCGTCTGCAAGTAGACAAACACTGCCTGAGTACCAGGTTCGACGCACCCAATCTGGATCCACCAGGATTACAGGACAGCCTTCCAACTATATTCTTTGCAACATCCGGGGCAGAAGCTTCAAAGGAAGAAAGGCGTAAATCAGATTACCTGTCCCACGGCGCCAGAAACACATCAGCCCTGGCAATGAATCGTGTGACCTTCCGACTGAGCCTGGAGGATAGAATAGCCACATTCAGGGAGCCCTAGAGAAGGCAGAGTTGATGGAACACCTCCCAGTGAAGGGACCACTCTCCCGGATCCAGACCCTGATGACTCAGGTAATCCACCTAGCAATTTTCCACCCCTGGAATGTGAAAGGCAGGCAAAGCCAGGACGTGATTTTCTGCCCAAGACAGGATCCGAGACTCCTCCAGCGTTGCCGCAAAACTCAGTCTGGCACTTTGATGATTGATGCATGCCATGGTGTTGTCTGACTTCACACGAACTGGATGTCCATCAAGAAATCACCAACCAGTGATGAATAGACAGAAAAATTGTCTGCAGTTTCTGGACATTGATAGACAACCTGCATTTCATCTAAATCCACAGGCTGTGAGCTGACAGTTGTACCAGTTGTCCTCCCCAGCCTGACAGGCTGGTATCCATTGTAACAATCTTCCATCGCAGAAGCAGGCAGGACACAACATAGGGAATGAAGCCACCACAGCAGGGAAGCCTTTCTCTGACGGGACAGACAAAAAACCCTGTCTGGGAGCCTGTCCCAATGCAACATAATTTCCCGTTGAAGAATCAGAGTATGATGTTGCGAAGGGAACCGCTTTGAACGAGGCTACCATCAGACCGAGCATCATTATGGCTGCGTGGAGAGAGGACCTCCAAACGATCACATAACGGACGAACACAAGTCTGAAGTAGGGAAGCACCGATACCAATACCAGTATTGGTACAGATATTGTGAAAATGTCCCGATACAAAGCGCCACTTTAAATGTTTTAATAGATTTGGCTACCGTAAGGCCCCGCACCTGCTGGGGACCTCGGGGCAGCCTTGTGGGGATCTGTGCGGCGCTGCTTACAGCACTGGTTAAGCCATACATCTCCTCCTCCCTACAGTACGAAGAGGCCCGCACAGCCATGGTGAGACCCGCACGCAGCCCTGGTGATCAACACAGAGCATGTAGCTTCATACTATTCTGTATTGCTGTATAATGTATTGCTGGAACTTGTAGTCCTCTATAGCTGATGGTATTCTGCATTGCTATATAATGTGTTGCTGGGATTTGTAATCCTCTATAGCTGGAGGTATTCTGCATTGCAGTATAATTAGATTTCATGGATTTGTAGTCCTATATTGCTGGTGGTATTTTGCATTGCTGGTGGTATTCTGCATTTCTGTTTAAATGGATTGCTGGGATTTGTAGTCCTCTATAGCTGGTGGTATTCTGCATTGCTGTATAATGTATTGCTGAGATTTGTAGTCCCACTACAGCCTGGAGTCAGTGGCAGAACTAACAGGGTGGCCGTGGTTGCAGCTGCAACTGGGCCCTGGTGCTCCACCACCCTCATTAGTTGAGAAAAAGTATTAGTACTCGTACTCGGTCTTGAATGGTATCAGTGTTTCCTTGTCGGAAGTCTTAGAAGCTTCTCCAGAGTAGGAAAGACCTTGGCTACCAAGTCTAGAATCAACCCTAGGTACTCCAGCCAAAGAGAAGGGACCAACAACAACTTCCAAATATTCAAAGCCCAGCTAAATTCTTCCACAGTCGGAATTGTGACCAACAGATTGTTCTCCAGGTCCGATGCGTAGAAGCACGCCGGCCAAGTACCTGACAACTGAAATCCACTGTAGTCAAAACAGAGCCAGCACCGGCGCCAAAGCCTTGGTGAATAATTGGAGAGCAGACCACAGGCCAAAAGGGAGAGCCACAAACTGGTAATGAAGCTCCCCCACCGCAAAGCGAAGAAAGCGCTGGTGGATTCAACAAATGGGTATGTGACAAACAGAAATTGCAGAGACATGGCTTAAATAGGAAGTTCAGGGGAGGATCAAGGAGTTCAGCAGAAAACTAGGCTTAACTGAAGACTCAAGTGGCTCAGCAGGAAGAACCACTGCCAGACACAACAGAGGCGCTGGGTTCAGATTCGGATCCTGACACAAGCACTTTATCTATAGGATCCCTAGATACTGATGCATCTTCTACAGGGATCATCAGAGCTATATTTAGAAGGGACACGGGCGGATCATTTGCGGGAACAGTCCCCTTCTTAATAAAAGCTCTCTCAATGAGTATCAGACTGCAAAAGTTTATCAGTCAGCGTACAGTGCATCTGGAAATAGCGTGAGCATGAGAAAAGTTGAGTGATCTTTGGGACCCTAGACTGGTAAAAGCTATAGGCTGTACCTCCATCTTTAAGTTGGTAAATAAAAGCTACAATGGTATCTCTAAGCCTGGGAGTCATGGCATCTGCCTGTGGCTCTTTGGGTACATCTTCATCCAGTAAGATTCTTCATTGGAAAAAGCATCTACAACCAAAGGCTCATAGGCCACAAAGGCTGCAGGCAGATCAAGTAATGATTCCTCAGGGGGAGGCGTACAAGTGCACTTATATTCTCTGTGGTTAGAGTCAGCAGGTCACATGGCACACAATATACTGCAAGAAAATCCTCCTAGGTTAAACCTGAGGAAAGTGACACACCTGACAGAGCCAAGGAAGAATCTGAGGGATGTAAGGACTCAAACAGTAGACAATGTTCCAGGCTATCAGTATCAGGTCCCTGAGATGAAACACTGCAGGCCTACCTGGAACGGTTAGTGGATCGTGACTCAGAAAAGCTCCAATAACAGCTGAACTGCTCCCCTTGTGTGAGCAGACTACTGGTAACAGGAAAGGTTCAAATGGTCAGAGGTGACCAGGTCACTGTAAGTTGCATCTCTTGCAATAAGAAACAGTGTCGGGAAGTTGCTACCTCGTGCTGAATGAGGGGAACAGAGCACAAAGTCAGTGTGTGACATTCAACCTAGTGACTTAATTTCTGAGTGTTTAATAATGGCACCTGACAGGTCTAATGAACGCAGCAGCTCCTGAGGCTCAGCCCACACAACCTATTAATGATTGAGTCTTTAGAGACTGGGTCACAAGCACAGCCCAGTACCTACAGGTAACATTCCAGGCAGGCCTTGCATTCATCCAGTCCAGCAGGGTATGGGACGGCCTCCAAATCTAGTGGGGGCATATGGGGATATGCAGTTCTAGATAGCTGCATAAAGAGACACGCTTAACCAATCATGATTAGAGAAAAAAAAAACAATCTTAAAAAATTACTAGCTAAAATGGTTAAACTTTTTTCGCTATAGAAAAGACATCCATCCACCTAGGACACTATCAAAAAACTGAGACATGAGGGTTGGTCATCGTTTCTTTTGCTTGCTAATGTCCAAATCATCCTGTAGCTGCAGTATAACCCAAATGTCAATGAATCCTGTGTCCCTCAATGAACAAAATAGAAAACAACTTTCTTTCTGGTTTATTCACACCAGCCCCAATCTCCCAGTCCTTAATGTAATTTCTGATTATATGCAGCAATATCGGCACATGCAAAAATCATCATGATGCAGAAAATTATGTTTATTTTTTACTTTGCTGATACAATTAAAGAAAGAACTCTGGAGGCAAAAAAAAAGCTTAACCTTTGCCGTGGGGCTAACCCAAGGGCTCATTTGTGTTTAGGTAAAAAAAAAAAAAAAAAAAAAGTTATATATGATTTTAGACCAGTCTCTTCTACCTTGTTCCCCCTGCTCCAGCGGTCTAAGGATCTTCAAGTAATCACGTTCTATACAGTGTATAGGATGAGAGGATGAGGAGTGACATACTATCGCTGCAGCGGAGGAGGAGACAGGCTGGAGGAGGCGCTGTCACGGCCAGCCAGAACCGAAGGTTTGGGCAGGTATAACTTTTTTTTACCTAAACACAAACACATTTAACCCTTGCAGTGCAGGGTAGCCCCACTGTAAGGGTTACAATTTTTTCCCCCCAGAGTTATTCTTTAGGCATTACCTGTACCAATCACTGACTTTTCAGTTTTTGACAGAATGCTTCTTAAAAGGCTTTAATAGGATGAAAAACTGCTTGTATATATACATAATATGTATAAAAAAATCTCGCATGAAGAAACTCAAATTAATGTTAGCCATGCCAATCGTACCCGTCATCAAGCTTAAATGGATATGCTTTGTTTCTTTTAAAGCCTTCAACGTAAATAATACAAGTGTGCGTGTTTTATTCACAGCAAACTTTGTCAGTTAAGTTATTCACAAAGAAAGATTTGATATTACCAGGCTGTCAAGTCCTCCTCAGTTCAGCAGATGACACAGGGCTAGTCAGACAGGCAGTACGAATAAATAAAACCCACAGAAAGGGGATTTTCACTGAGGTCACAGGGGGACACAGAATGACTGATGGGGCATAAGACCTATGAGTCAAGCTATACCCCCTAGAAATTCAAATTTTCATTAAGGTCACTCGGGGCACAGGATGACGGTCACCAACGAACAATAAAAGTAAATACTTTTCATTTTGTACACAGTTACACTTTACAGCTGCACTGATCTTAAAAAAAGCAATCAGGTCTACATGTTATTCCAGATAATTTAACATGCAAGTGATTGCTAATTCCTAGGTGTCTAGAAGAACAGAGACATGATGTGCACTCACTAAGCATTACACTGAGTCATTTCAGTTCATCTAACACCCGTGACCCTGACTTAGTCATTCCAAAGGAAACCAGACTATGGGACTTCTGCTTTTTTAGGTCCAGTCAGTGTATGTTGCTGAGAATTTTCAGTCCATTCAGTGATGCCACATGACCCTGTCACTAACTGTTCCATGAATTTTCAGTATGTAATCACTTTGGAAATGCTTCTGTTATTTCTAGTCATTATCAGTCACCTGACAAAGTTTGTCTGCTGATTTCGCTGCCGGTAATGTTGGGAAAGAAACCATCTGCAGAAGCTCCTGGATCGGTTCCTCCCATCAGCGGTCGTAAATGGTTTACAGATACTTGCTCGATGAAAGATGTTCCATATTTCCGGAAGTAACACCACTCAAAAATCTAAAATAAAAGAAACAGGTCAACACATTCACAACACATTTACCTAGTTTTCTCAGTTCCGGATTGTCAAAAATAGTTTGTGTTATGTTCTGGAGAGTAGAACCCGTTACACTCACGCTACCAATTGCAACTTTTACCGCCCACCTGTGCATGAGGTTGCAAACTCGCTTTCTCTTCACCCCTAGCTCTATTGATCTGAGCGTATTTTATATTTCATTATAGGAGTTGCAATGTCACTTTAGTAGTCGTTATAGAAAGTTGAAATGGTAATTATTGAGTTTCTATTTGTTACTAAAATGCAAGATTCACTTACCGGTAAATTAAAACCAACATTGTCTTCTTTAATATATGAACAAAGGATCCTACAGTATTTCATGTTTGGACAATAACATAAGTTAGATCATTATAAAAATAACACAAAGTGACATTGCTAAATAAGCAGATGAGCACTGCTACAGAAATGCAATGATCTTCCTATGTTTCATTTTGGTGTTGCTACGTCAGAAATAGTACCAGAATATTAATAATAGCAACAATAATTATTATACATGCAATGATACCAATTCTTCAGCATCAAGTACCGATATTTGTTTTCCAGCACTCGCTGATACAAAATACCGATACCGGCAACCCGAGGTAGAGTGGGCCTGGCTAATCAGGAAGCCGACCGACGGGTCATGACCCGCCACCTGGATTCCTGATTGCCTGGGAAGTAGGTGTTCTAACAAAAGCATGCCAACTTTACGCTCCCACACAACACGGCGAGGCAGCCTGGCTTCCTGACCAACCAGGAAGATGGGTGGCACATTATGACCTGCTTCCCAGCTTCCTGATTGGTCAGGAAGCCAAGCTGCTTCTCAAGTGTCGCTAGGCAGTGTGAAGACGGCTTCCTTGCCAATCAGGAGGCTGGGTGGTGGGTCATGACCCACCACCCAGCTTCCAAATTGGCCGGGATCTGGCTCCATGCTCCCTCGCTGCACTGCCAGTCAGAGGAGATCTCCCCCTGAACGAAAGTTCCGGTATCGGGGTAAATATTGGAGCATTTGGGAGAGTACGAGTACTTGGCCAAATGCTCAGTATTGGCACAGATACCAGTATTGGTATCGGTGCATCCCTTATTAATATCTTTATTTGAGGATTATTCTAACCTGATAAGAAGCTGCAATAGCTAAAGTTAAAGGCATAAACAAAATGGTAATTATGTTTTACCGGATATGGTTGGAAAGCTGAAACATTTTAATAAAATGTAACAAATTGAGATTAAGAAATGATGAAAAGATTAAATTCAGCCCTGGACAAATCTAACCCAGGACTAGGAACCAGATTTAAAAACACAGGAGCAAGCACTGTGCAACCTGCATATTGTGCATAACAGGCTGGGCGAAGTTAGCCTTTCACACTCGCTGGCTGGCTCAGTCTATCGAACACCGCTGCTGTCAACACAGTCACATTAGCTACTACAGTCTCTAACAGTATAGGGGTTACCTTGTAATAGCCCTTGAATTTCAGCGCCTACCTTTCCACTGGCAATAGCTTTCAATAAGAGCCGGGACAAAGTTATTCAATGCCCAGGACGAAGATGCCAAGCTTCCAACACTCTCATATTAGAAAATAAGAGAGCTTCTAGGTAAAATATTAAATTTTATAGTGTAGCCCCTTCCACCCTAAGTGGAGTCGATATTTAAATTAAGTGTTGCTAGCACTATAATCAGTCTGGCCGATTTGTAGTCTGGTAACATTTGGTTAATTTTAGGTGTTCTGCTATTGATTGCACCTACCTGTGAGTGGGGTGTGGCCCTACCACAGAGTATAAAATACATTTGGTTAATTTTAGGTGTTCTGCTATTGATTGCACCTACCTGTGAGTGGGGTGTGGCCCTACCACAGAGCAAATACAGGAACATTAGGAGTATATATGGCTCTCCAGCCAATCCCTAGGAGTTTCATGGCCTGTAATGCATGCTGGGGAAGTGCATAAAAACTCAAGGATTGCCATGTGCTGGGGTTCAGCCCACCCCCAGGCTCAGCCTGGGGTGGGATGTACTAAGTTGGAGAAGCTGACTAGGCCTCCAGCCAGCAGTAGGCCACATGTGGACCCAGGTGGGGTCTGGAACTATCTGGGAAGGAGAACCAGAGGAGCCTAATGCCTGCTGGAGGTGCCTGGAAGACATGGACCTCAGGAAAAAGTCTGGTGTCCCTCCCAGGGAAGATCTTATGCATATCCTCTATTGAGCTGTTGCTCCACTATACAATGTAACCTTCTGTTTTACTAAAGTATTCCTGCACTGTGGAAGCTGGAATTGATAGGTGTGTCTGGAGTCAATTTTTGCTGTGGATGTCTGAAGCCCTATACCCTAGGGCTGCAAATAATTATTTTCATAATTAGTTGGTCGATTATTTTTTTAAATAATCGAATAAAAAAAAAATGCCATCTATTATTTAAAATAAAATGCACAAATGAAGTGTTACAAAGTTTACTTCAGAATAAAACTGCATGCACATTTTTTGGAATCGCACCGCACTGGAATGCGTGGCATTCCGGTACCATGCAATCCAGTGCGGGCAATCACACTGCGGGCGGGAGGTGCGTTTGGGCTGCCAGTGAAATGAATGCCACTGCAACGCACATCCTAAAGCAGAATTTGTCAGGCCAAAATTCACTTTTTGCACCTTTTCTATTATATTATTTATTTTTTAGTACTTGTATGTATTATATTAGACATTTTAGTTTTGGATTTAAAATAATCTGAATTCAAAAACTCCAACCAATATAATAAAATAACCAAACTTTTATTTAAAATAACACACTACAATGTTACAAAAAATACAATTATATATAAAATTATATCCATGTATAAAAATATAAAAGCCCAGTCACCAGTTTAGAATTCGCCCAGGATACTGGCTGGAGAATTATTGCTCAGACGGATGCAGCGATACCTGACATGTGTAGCACAATCGTCATTTTCATATGTAGGTGCACCCAAGGGGTCAGGAGACTTTAAAAAATAACAAACAAAAAATATATAAAACTTTTTTTATTTTTACTTCATTGCCATCACATGGGGGGGGGGGTTCATGAGCCCCCTGTGTGATAGCACATTGGAAATGACAGGTTCTCTTTAAACATGTAATATAAACATAGCAGGCAGTGGCTTGGAGCAATAGCCAGCCCGCTATTTGCTATTTCAAATTGCAATAGCAGGGTGGCTGTTGTACCTGTCTGATTGACACTGCCTGCTGTCAATCAGCAGAGGAGGGAACTGAAGGAGAAAGTTCTCCTTCAGGTCCTTGATTGCTGATGACAGCAGGCAGTGGGAGGGTGCAATACCCAGCCTGCTATTGGCTACTGCAACTTAAAATAGCCAATAGCAGGCTGGCTATTGCTCCCAGCTTCTGGATGGGAGCAAGCCGTAAGAGGAAGCATGGAGGAGCGGCGGGCGTTGGGAGGGGTGGCGGGGACACTGGGAGGAGCAGCGGGGACAACCAGTGTGGACACGGGGAGGAGCAGTGGAAACAAGCAGCAGGGACACGGAGGAGCAGCAAGAATGACCATCGGGAACATGGAGGAGCAGCAGAGGCACTGGAGTAGAAACAGAGGCATCTTGGTTCGCAAACGTGGAATGCAGAGGCACAATTGTATCTCCTCCCCGCTGGGCGCTGGCAACAAATACAGACTGTAGCACGCAGGGGCTCCCAGTGGGGAGGAGAACAGGAAAGTAGAACAGTGGCGGCGGGAGAGTGAGTTTACTGTATTCCCTCCCATCTGATCCCCAGACGGGATCAGATGGGACACAAACAACTAATCGATAATGAGAATCGTTGACTCTCATTATCAATTAAATCAATTATTTGTTGCAGCACTACTATACCCTCTCTCTGTTTGGCTGTTCTTTAATAAAGCATCTAAAAAGTCCTTAAAGTCCAATTTACTGTTCACATCCCACAACCTATTGGTGATCTCTGAGACTGAAATGTCAGCCCTCCCTACCTTTGGGGGTCAGGGGGCGCTACAATAGATAGTTTAATCAGAAATGAACACTGGAGAGGGATATGGATACAGTGCAAGCTGTGTTGGTGTCTGCGCATACACCAGCTCCTATATCTGCTGATGTACTCCTATTACAACATAGTCACTAGAAATAAAGAATGATGAGCCCGTTACCTCCTCTTGACTACTGCTCCTGAACCATACATATTCCTGTATGGGAAAAAGTAAGGCCATGCATGTCCTCCTTCACTAGTATATTTTCCACCAGTATGTACAAAAGCAAATAAAAGTAGCAGCTAAATATTGAGATTGTTGCTTTTTGCCACCCTTAGTAAGGTGATGTGTGAAACAAGATACCTAAAACATATGCACAGGGAATGTGCTTTGCTTGAAGAACACAAAGGGGGGGATTTATCAAAGCAATTGTGACAGTTTTATCCTCTTACATCATTTCTTTTTTATGTGCAAATCTGTCTTTCAACATGTATCCCTGTTTTGACCTGAGCTTGCACTACTTTTCCAACTGCACGTATTTTGCACCTGTTTTCATCAGAGCTTGCACTACTTTTCCAACTGCACATGTTTTGCACCTGTTTTGACTAGAGCTTGCACCACTTTTTCAGTTGCATGTTTTTTGCACATTTTTTGCACCTGTTTTCATCTGCACTTGTTCTGGCCTGTCTGAAACTGAAGCATCATCTAAGAAAACAATCACAACTTAAGAAGTCCCCATGACCACTTCTTCAAGATGCGACAGTTACGTTTTTTGCCTGGAGTTACAAGTTTTCTTTCCTGGATCCTATTAAACCACATTTGTCAACAACATTACACTAGCATCATAAATCTGGTGCAAATATATTCCGTGCAACTTCAAACACTCGCAATTGCTTTGATAAATTTCCCCCCAAAGAATATATGACAAAGTCAGTCATATTATATTCTTCCTCCCTTCCTGTTCTCCTGTGATTTTCTTGCAGTGGTGTTCCACAGCACCACCTAACTGATTACA